TTTTATGCAATATGTTATTTACAATCATTGTCTCTCAAGTATCAGTGCTTGCACGGCAATTGGTATGACTTGTTAAGATTGAGATGCAGTTGAAATGTTCTGTTTAAGTATTTTCATTAAGTTCTATCTGACATGACTAGACATTTGTTGGGATTCTAACTTTTCTACTTCATTTATTAGGAAAAAAGTTTCAAGAAGGCGTAGACACAACCAAACATAATCCAAATTGCTGATCTGACCTCTATTAAATAATTGATAGACATTGAATCTCAACATTGGTGGTCAAAGTTAGTTTTGGATTGAGTCAATGTTCTCGATCTTTTTGTCAAAATATTGAATAATGAAAGCCCATGTTGTTTTGTCTTTCTGCCAAAGATTACTTGATTTTATAAACCATAGACTTTGTGATTCATGCATTCTTTATTTGAAAAAATGAAATTAGGTATATTGTATTCTATTAGACATAAAACAATGGCCATGTTCATGGACATTCATGTTTCTTTAATTTCAAAATTTCCCTCCCTCCATTGTTAAAGATAATATTTGATGATAAAAAACATATTGGCATTCTGTAGAGCGCATTCTGCTGCGTATCAAAGACATTTGTTTTTGGGTTTTTTCATCATTAAACATTTGCCATTAATCTCATAAATGTACACTGATCTCATTTCTTGGTGCTATTCCTAAGCTTTTTTTTTTCTTGAAAGGTTTTAATACGCCTAGTTTTTCTCCTTTCTAAAATGCCATTAGAAAGTTAAAAGGGGCTATATAATTGGAATTTTAATTCCATATAGGTAATGTAGGTTCAGTTCTTACTCAAGAGTATATTTGTGCTTCATTGATGATATATTCCATTTTGCTGGAATTTGTAGTTTCATGTCATTATTTAGCGATGGAATTCTCGTCTTCAGCATCCTTAGTTTAAGTTAATTTGCTTTAGCATTAAAACCACTGCAAGTTGAAATGCTTCACCTGCTAAGGATGATGATTTATTTGCTGGTTGCAGGTAGTTTTACCTGAAGGATCCAAAGAAGTTTCTGTTTTGGTTCCATTTCACACCAAACAATGGCACGAGGTCGGCTATAGTATTTATTAAGTGCACTACTTTGGTTCATTACAATAGTATTGACAAGAATTTTTTGATTATTTGTGCATTTTCCTCTGCAGACAAAATATTCACATCTGGACCTTATTGGAAGGCCTGTTATTGTCTTGAAAAAAACCAATGTTGTTCCAGAGCATAATACCTATTTTCAGGTACGCCTCAAGTCATTTTTATTGACTTCTTTACACTTTTTTTTTCCTTTTATTAAAAGGTTTAATATTTAATTTTTCAGTTTCTCTGCTTCGTAAGTTTTCTTTTGGTCTAGATGCATGAATAATAGTTAAGATGAAATTATAAGAAACTCCTCATTGAGCATTATTGGTAGATCCATATATTTTTAATGCTGGTGCCAAAAAAGTAGAGACATGAACTATGCCAACTTTGCAATTTACACCTAGAGATGTTGAGTAGGGCGTGGAGCAGTGGGTTAAGTACTTATATTTAAGTATACTTGAAGGTCCAGATTTGAGTCATGGAAACTACTACCTTGCACATATAATGTTTAAGGATGTGGACATCAACCTCTCCCCAAACCCTGTTT